TCCATCCTCTGCCATGCTGGGATTCTGTGAAACACTCGCTCTCCTCCTGGCAGCAGCGGTGAGGCAGCACGCAGCGTGTCGCAGGGTTCTGCCTGCCACCTGCCAGCTCGCTCGGGGGACAGAGGGTTAACCCGAATCACCAAGGTCATGGTGTAGCTGTAGGAACCGGCTGGGAAGACGGGTCTCAAGCCCGAACAGCCTGGCAGATGACAAAGAGGGAAAAACAGACATCTCCAGAGGTGTAGAAGAATGGAAAGAATTTGCTTACAGGAGTACAAGGGCATCTAATTGGAATGAAACAGAAGATAATAAGATAGGAAGAAATTTTGGCAGAGTATATCGGGGAATAATTCCTGACAGTGAATCTATGAAGCGGAGGCAGAACCTCTCAAGGGGGGGTAGCAGGAGACCAGTTGGTTGGAATATATGAAAGTAAGAGTATGGAAAACACTAGAAACCGTATGACTATAAAGGAATATCCCTCTGAAACCACACTTAGCCTAACGGTTCTTTCCCATCTATAAATTTACCAGCTGACCTTTATAATTAAGAGGAGAGAAGAGTCACAGCCGTGATCACACTCCCGCACAGCGGCTTTTCCTTTGGCTCTCAGCACCTCTGCTTTCTGACACAGCAGCCGAGCTTTGGAATCATGGATACGTCTCGGAACGGACCTGAAAACGGTTCGGAGCGCGCTGCGCAGAGCGAAGAACAGCCAGGCAACGCCAGCCTGGAGCGGTACTCGAAGAGGAGAAGCCTTGTCATGCGGTTCCTGCAGTCCGAGCTGAGCCCCTGCCGGCTCCAGCACTACCAGAGCAAAGCCGAGCTGCTGAAGAAGTGTGGCTTCTACCTGCAGATCGAGCCCAGGTACCTGCACATGAGAGAGCAGAACCAGGTGATCACCCGCACCGACATCTTGCAAATGGTAGACCGCTGCCAGCTCCAGAGGATGAAGAAGGTGGCGAAAAACCAGTGTGAAATCCAGCTCTCGCTCTTAACTGAGCTGTTGGAGCAGCTGCAACGAGGTCGGGAGGAGCTGAGCCGTCACCTAGAGACCTGCGACATGGTAACTTTCCTCTCCAGCTGGGATTTCACCATGCAGAAGCTGTTGCAGCTCATCGAGTTTCTGAAAATTCTCCCTTCCCTGCAAGTGCCAGGAAAGCTCCACATCAAGCACTGTTTGATGTTACAGGCAGATCTTCACAGGGCCAGGCTCCCCAACATCAGGCTTTCTCTCCATACGAAGCCGCCGGTGATTTTTGACCGCAAGGAATCGTTCGCATACAAGGAGCGGGCCAGGCTGCAGTGGTTCCCCGAAACTCAAGAGTCCCACCTCGAGCGATACGACCTGCAGGTGAAATTAGTGACAAGCGGGAGCCCGACGGAAATGGGGTATGGTAGGCTGCAGACCGTCACCTCCAACATGTGCATCGTCCAGGGCCTGCAGCCCGACAGGTGCTACGAGTTCACCATCAGAAGATCAACCACCGAAACACTCGTCCTTGAAAAATGGCAGGACAGCATCACCTTGAAGACAAGAGCTGCCGCTGCTGAACGCGAGCAGGGCAGTGCTTGCGCGCTGAAAGCATGAGGGGGCACACACCAGCATTTTTCTTACGTTATCCATTTGAAAAAGAAGAATGAGAAAAAAGTAACAGTAAGCTTTATTTTGAAACCTTTCGCGTGGAACTGAACTCATTCCGTTGTCAACAACAATTTTACAAGTGCCTTCCCCAAATCTTTCCGGGTCAGCAGTAACCATCCCACGCTTCTCACCCCAAACCGCAGCCCCAGGGCGAGGCCCTCCCGGGTGGGAGCGAGAAGCAGGCGGTCTTGCAGGACACGGCGGATGCCAGGCACAGCAGGCAGGAGCATCTCCGCCATCCAGCGCTTTCCATCCACCAAAAGATGCCGAGTGCCAGCTTCTTGCAATGATACTGTTTTGGTTTCTTTACCCCAAGTTACTTTTTTCCCCACGTCCTTCCTCCAAAACACCTGAACTCAATCCTAAGCTCTTCCAATCACTCGTCCAAACTTCTCTCCATTTCCGGTTCCACTCACCTTCTGCACCCTGTCCCTTATAGGTACCTGAGCATGACTCCATGCTCATCCCTCTACAGGGCATGGAAAGGTCACTCCGATATAAAAACTCCCCCAAAAACAACAACAAAAACCCCAACCACCCCCCAAACCCCCCCAGCGAACGGGGAAGGGCAGGGAGCAGAGGACGCTCTCCGCCGCCGTGTGCCGCCGCTGCCCCTCGGTTTCTTTTTTTCCATTTTGGTCAGCCCCCAT